CCATATAGTAATTCATCCCCCATATAGTAATTCATCCCCCATAGTAATTCATCCCCCACATAGTAATTCATCCTCCATAGTAATTCATCCCCCATAGTAATTCATCCCCCATATAGTAATTCATCCCCCATATAGTAATTCTTCCCCCATAGTAATTCATCCCCCATATAGTAATTCTTCCCCCATAGTAATTCATCCCCCATATAGTAATTCTTCCCCCATAGTAATTCATCCCCCACATAGTAATTCATTCCCCATAGTAATTCATCCCCCATAGTAATTCATCCCCCATAGTAATTCATCCCCCACATAGTAATTCATCCCCCACATAGTAATTCATCCCCCACACAGTAATTCATCCCCCACATAGTAATTCATCCCCCATATTGACTCAATTCACTTACCTTTGCTCCGCGCGTTCCTCTCGCTGTGTTCCCGCGCCGTTCTGGTCTTCAGGGCGGACTGAGAGAGGAGTTCGTCACTCTGCCCCGCCTACATCCTGGCTGCCCCACCTACATCCTGACAGCCAATGTTCCACGCTCCGCGGGCCGGATTTTTGAGGAGGGAGGGGAGCGGGCGCCCGGCACACAGAAGAGCCGCATGTGGCTCGCGATCTGCGGCTTGCCGACCACCTGGTGGGCAGTGTGCTCCGGAGCCGCAGCAAAGATGAAAAAGAGCCGCATGCGGCTCTGGAGCCGCGGGTTGCCGACACCCGCGCTAGTCCATAGAAATTCATAGGTGTCCGTTTTTCATCCGTAAACAGACAGATGAAAAAACGGACATACAGAACTCCCGTGTGAAAGGGGCCTTAGGGTTTGATTTACTAAAACTGGAAAGTGCAAAATCTGATTCAGCTATCCATGGTAGCCAATCAGCTTCTAACATGAGCTTGCTCAATTAAGCTTTGACAAACAACCCGGAGACTGATCCGTTTCTAGGCAGAACTGCAGCAAATCTTGCACTCTGCACTTTTAGTAAATCAACCCCATACTCTTTTTATATAGATTTAATTGATATTGACCTGTATATAACTTTTTATTATTGTGTAATTGTGTTAGTTATTTAATCAACATTCAGGGAATGCAAATGGAGATTTTGTTGTATATCAATATACAATGAGAATAAAGTCTTTTACTATTTGAAATTTTAAATGAAGTACATATGTTATGTACTGCTGTAAAATTATTCCATAATTTGAATATTTTTTTCTGAAATGTTTTTCAGTCTATTTTTTAGTACAGTACCCTGCATGTTAACTTAAATACCTAAATATTTCTTAAAAAAAAATGTATCAATCTTATTTAATCAACATAATTTTGTAATTTACATTGGTTTTTATTTTTTTTCATTGTGGCATTAAAGCTTTCAATATATTTCTTTTATTGTGCAGAAAGCCAAAATAATCTGATTATCAGTAACACAATGATTAAAAATGCATTTATTTTCAAATTCACAAAAAGGATATCAGAACTTTTCAATTTAAACCAGTAAACTACCTAAGATATTCTGTAGGGCACTGGTCCACTTTGGGTAAATTCTGTTCCTGAAACCTATTCAAATAAGTAAAAAAAAAATTGACATTTTACACAAGAAATATTTTTACTTGGAATTCTAAAACATGTCCCCAATTATTCTATAATTGCTCGCTTGTGTAACCCTTAACACTCTGCTAAAGATCTCACTTCCATTGTAAGCAGGTGAGAGCTCAGCCAATGTGCCAATAACCCAATCCATGTCATTTGTAACATTTGAAGCGTTTGTGAGCCTCCTGGAAATCTCCCATGAGCACCTCTGCTTCTCACCAGCTCATTTAACAATGCAGGCTTCTGTTCTCATCCCTGATGGGCAGCAATTTGCTTGTTGTTTTTAATTGCATGGAGGTGCTCCTTAAGGCACCCAATTTGAGAATTCACAGGGTTTGCCTCTAGGGGCTGATTATTAACAAAATATATATATTAATTTGAGAGCTAACAAGCTGGACGAGATTCAGGCCATACTATCAATTTGATCCTTCCACAGGAGATTTAGAAATTAGATAGAGGGACCTTGTAAGTTGCCACAGGCAAGACTTATGTGAACAATATGGTGGGAGTGATCACAGAACATGCAGCATATTATCCATAAGGGTGCTTACTGTACATATGGCCACATCTATAACAATAAACAATGGCAAATGAAATCATTTGTCCAAGTCATTTAAATTAGCATGTAATAATAATTGAAACCCACTTGACTGTATCGCCAGCGTTCAGATGAACCTCAGACGTTCGTTGTCTAATTATTATAAAACGATCACAGCTGTCTTTTGATCCCGTATCCTTTAAATACCCCGGCATTCTTTTGCTCCATCACTGGCAACCTGACTTCTTATTTTTGTTTTCTATTCTGTGAATATTTCCATCCATCCCTCACTAAAATATGTGCTACACACGTACTATTTATTGTTGCAAGTCTTTTGAATATTTTGACTTAATGCGAGGGGGGGGGGGGGGGGAGACGAAAAACGCCTCAACAGGATGGCAAAATAATTATGCTGCGTTTTTCATGTGCCATGAACCTAATGTTGAGAAGCTCTATCCATTCTTCAGACATCTGTGCATCAGAGAGAGCATGAGAATTGAATCTTTCTAATTGTGCACTGGCTACACAATTAAAATCTCACCTTGTGCTAATAACACAGTGAAACCTATACTTAAAACCACCTGTCAAAGAAGAGAGACATCTGATAACGCAGACTGCCTGATGATGTACCAAATACATGCTTGTGTTTTTATCGAGTTTTTTTTTCTCTGACCTGTCACAGGAGAATGGCTGTTATCTGTGGATTAAGTGGTGCTTACTGAAAGAACAGCACAGGTAGCATGCATGAAAACTCGCCTTCTAATTAACACCACAGCACATAAATATAACAGCATAGTGGCTGGTCGGCAGAAAAACAGCTCTTTATGTAGCAGAAAAGTGGCAAAAGGTTCTACCCTTTCCAGTCAGTGACATACTATAGAAGCTTGAACAAGCTTGCAACCCCTTTGGTGTTCTGGTATGGACGGGTCACAATGGAAGAAACATCACTCGCCGCCATTGGTTTATATTTGTTTACAGCCATGTTTTATATAACCTTAAAGTTGAAATGGCTTTAATTAATAGGTACAATCTCAATATACAAGAATGTGGGCAAATAACTTCAGGCCGACATTTAGCATGTAATAATAATTGAAATAATTTACATTTAAACACATACGTTTGCTTATCAACAAGGAGCTGGCGGTGCCTTGTTATCCCAAAAGAGGTCAACAGATGAAACAAATGATAAAAACACTATTCATCAAAATCAATATATAGATAACATCCGGGATACTTAGACAGATTTTTATGTATTTCATCTAAAAATATATGTTGTGATATTAATTTAATCTTAGCCATAGAGAATGTTTTGTGAGCCCAACTTTTGTCTAAGCTGGTCACCCAGCACCACATTACTGTAGAAGTACAAGACACCTCTCTGTGAAAGAAACATTATGGGGTTGATTTACTAAACCAGAAAGTGCAAATCTGGTGCAGCTGTGCATGGTAGCCAAGCAGCATCTAACTTCAGCTTGTTCAATTAATCTTTGACAAAAAAAACTGGAAGCTGATTGGTTTCTATGCAGAGCTGCACCAGATGTTGCACTCTCCTGTTTTAGTAAATCAACCCCTATCTGTATATATATTTTCCAAGGTCTTTACCATTCAGATACATTGGAATAACTAAACATAAAGCACCTGTGCTTAGTTCATTTTACCACCACAACTGATTATGATGGAGTAACCAAGCAAATAAGGCTGCCGTGATGAAAGAGAATGTGCCTCAGTCCTGCTTTATATATTTAAAAAATGTTAATTTAAAAATATTTTCCATCTATAGCCACAAAGGATATAATTCCATTTTGTGTGCACCAAATGGTTTTTCAAAATTAGATATTGCCTTGCAAATGTAGCAGTGACATCATCACCGTGCTTTACATAGCCTGTGCAAGAGCAGAGCTGTGGGAGGGGCCCAGCAGGATTCACCCACTACAGGCTGCCTGCAGAAAACTACAGGAGGGGGTGGAGATAAGACCAGTCACCCTGCACAAGGAGAGAGCAGTAGTGTCTGGTCTTTATTATAGGAAAATCCTACACAGAGGCAAAGTATCACACTGGATAACTGCACAGATCTGGAACCAATACATAAAGCGCACCAAGACCAAGCATTTTCTGGCACGTTTTGTTTACAAGTTTAAATCAGTATTTATTGCTAGAAAATTACCTATAACCCACAAACATTATATATATATATATATATATATATATATATATATATGAAATGGTGATTGTTGCAATTTTTTATGACTCATGGTATTTGCACAGCAGTTTTTCAAAAGCAATTTTGTTGGAAAAAATTCACTTTAATGAATTAAACCCCCCACAATATATACCCCCAATTTTTGGTACTATATGAAAAAGGCTGCTACAGTGAGTAAATAGACACCTAATATGTCCTGCTTTAAAATTGCGCACCTACTCGTGGAATGGTGACAGACTACAGTAATTAAAAATCTCCATAGGCAACACTTTAACACTTTTTACAGGTTACCTGTTTAGAGTTACAGAGGAGGTCTAGTGCTAGAATTATTGCTCTCGCTCTAATGTTCGAGACGATACTTCACATGTGTGCTGCAAACACCGCTTACATATGCATGCGTGACTTACGAGTGCATTCACTTCTACGCACAAACACAAAGGGATGGGGGCGCTTTAAAATTTCTCAGGCATGCCAGTTTTAATGGTAAGCCGAAGAAAACACCAGCGAGCGGCGGGAGGGGGGGAGTCCCCTCCTGCCACTACAGAAAGCGTTCCAGTGGCTAATGAGGTGCTCAGACCGTTTTCATCAGAAAGCCAGCCATTGGCTGAAAAAAAGATACCAGGTTATGGCTGATATCTTCAGCCATAACCAGGGGCGGACTGACCATTTGAAAACTCGGGCACTGCCTGAGGGCCCGGGGTCAGTAGGGGGCCCCATGAGATGCCCCTGGTACCTTTTTCATAGGCTCTTTTGAGTTTGGGCAAGGACACAGGGGCCCCATGATCCCCTATTGCCCGGGGGCCCCATGAGTTGTCAGTCCGCCCCTGGCCATAACCCTGGTAAATCACTTGAAAACCACAATGTTTATTTATGTATTGTGGTCTTCAAGTGGTAAATTCACATGCCTCTTATATTTAGATTCTATTTACTTATCCCAGAGTTCACTAGTAAATTTTATGGTCAGTCACAATGATGTAGTAAAATGCTGATCTCAGACACAACAAATATAAAGGTGTCAAAGCATGACCTTAAAATGAGCTACTGCCTTTCTTAGCTAGAAAATCCTCCTCTGCTTGGTAGGCAGCATAGATAAAACCTTAGATGTTACAGCTCCAGAGATCCAGGCAGATGGCTTTATACTGTGACTCTTTCTTTTTCTATTGTTTTTAAAAAAAGGCTTACAAAAATATAATAAAATAAAATGTACATTTTCCAAAATCACAAATCTTCTATATCTGGCATATCTGAGGTGAAATCTCATTGCACAGGGGGTGTTAGCAATTGGGCACTGTGGTAAATCAGCACATATAAAAGTAAAAACATCTGCGCTAGAGTGTTTTAAAAGAAAAAGCAGCCACTAAACAATTGTGATACCAAAAGCTAGGAAGAAAATACAAAAAGCAGTGCTATATCACATCAATATTAATTATAAATCATATTAAGTGTACTTAATTTGCATTCTATATGTGACTAAAACACCACATGCACTAAGGAATTAAATGAATCCATATAATATATATATTATATCAAAAAGTGAAAAATAAATATATCAAAAAGTGAAAAATAAAGTCCCATAGTGAACAAAATGTAATTTAAAGAAAAATCCTTTCACAATCCAGATTTTAAGAAGAGTGTCCCGACACTTCAATTTTCTGTTGGACAAAGTGCTCTTACACCGCCAAGTGACCCTATTAGGGAGCCTGTTACCAGATAATGTGGACAATTGAGTTATAAATGGTCTTAAGCGCTTAGATACAGTATATCCTATAGCTAATGATTCTCTAGGCATATAGACCTTCCGCCATCAGGATCTCTCTGCCAATATCAGAAAAAAGAGAAGCATTGCATGCCCATAGTGTAGTATGTAGAAAAATTCATTTATTTAAAAATTGCACAACAAGATCACTAATGGCATTATATGATAAAACGTGCATGGGCAGCAGGTAAACAAAACCGCATACAGCAGGTAAACAATAGCTTCCAAAGCAGCAGGCTGAGTTACTGTCCCAGGTTCCAGTTGGCAGGCGTGTGTGGTGATTAATTTAATTCCTTGGTGCATGTGTTGTTTTCTTCACATATAGGATGCTAAATTGGCACTTATGCCGAACAGTATCAGGCAGAGGTATCAGGAGGTGAATCCACCGAACTTGATACTACAAGAAAGGAGTTCAGGAAACTGGGGGGAAGGAGGTCCTACCTGTTCATCACTGTAGCACTACCCCCTTGAGAGCTACTGGCTTTGTGTCCTCCTTTACTTCCTGTACAGGCAGAAAACATGCATTTTCCACTTGTATCCAGACACAAGAAACAGTCTATGGGCTTCGTTTTTACATTTTAATAGGGAATTTAACTTGTATAGGGTAAAGGGGTTATGGGATACCCAACTTGATTGCAGAATAACAATTGAGGACAATTTCCTTCTCTAGAGAATACTAAAAAAATGGCAGATGAATGACTGTGTTCCAGTTGGAACCATGACAGTCTTTAGCGAAATGGTAGCTTGTAAGAGCTTAGAGTTCCCTTGAATGGAATTTTAGCAAAGTCCCAACTTGTAGGCGCTCTAAGTCCCCTAAGTGTACAAAATACCAGCCCACCTGGCTACAATATCTGATTCCAGGACAAGAGAGTGGGTAAGCTATAAACTGTCCCCTTAAGATTTGCCAAGAACTTGCATCCAGCAGACTTCTCTCTTATAGGCCCTGGGGGTGTAGAGGTACTCACACTGTTCTTGTCCTGCAGCTGTGGAAAGGACTGCTTTTAGGCCTTCCGCTGGGTTGGTTCCTCTCTAAGCTATGCAGGCTGTCCTTCCCCAGAGGACTGCAGGGCAGTGAAGTTCCCTACTTCAGCTATCCTCTTCCCTCCTCCAGCTTCCAGCCCCCAGCCTGAAGGCAGAACCCCCCTTCTCCAGGGCCCCCTCTCAGGCTATGCAGCAACACTTCAACAATCCATCTTCCAACTGTTTTTGCCCCTGCTGGCCAGGCTCAGTCATATATATGGGACAGTCTGCCACACTGCCAGGCCCCTCTGTCTGGGATTGGTCAGACTCCCATAAATATGCAGATCAGCTCCTCCTCACTTCCACCTACTGGCTTATAGAAGCATCTCCAAGTTTCTAGAGCAGGAGGAGGTACCAGAGGACTGAGCTGTAGGGCCCTCCAGCCTGAACTGAAGTAACCCTCTGTCTAAACCCAGGCTTCTAACAAGCCTCTAACTATTCTAAGCAACTATGTACACTAGAGGGCTCCACATAACAATTCAATTGTTTGCTACAAGAGGAAGTGACAGAGACTGAGATTTTGTCAAAACCCATGACTTGAGGGAAGCATGGGCTCCTCAGGCAGTCATTTGCACTTGTGAGGTCTTCTCTCCATTCCAAACATTCATCTTTGGTGAAATTTAATCCTGCATGGTGTGTTTTTTTTTTTTTTAAATTGTGACAGCTAGGAGGGTAGAGAAGATCCCCCATTAGCTGTCACAACGGGGATCCGGTGAGTGCAGGAGTCGGTCCATTCATAACATGTTACACCCTGAATATGGGTGCAACATGTAACATGTTACAAAAGGTACACTTATCTATTAAAGCTTCTCTAAGATTGCTTTGGGAATGTTAAGGATCACCCCAGCTTGAAGGAAGTGGGCTCCAAGAGTTTGAATTTATTCTCTTTTTCCCCAGTGAATCTGTCTTTTGACATTCAAACAAACCTTAACATTCAAACAAACCTTAACTTTATAGTAAAATTCTACCCTAGGAGCTCAAACTGCAAGATGCCTGCTATTACCTTTATAAGACAGGACAAACTTCTCTTTTGGTAATCTTTGATTTAGTTTCACTTTGTATTTGAGGTCTGTCTTTAACTGACTTCATGGTTAGACCCTTCCGATTGACATTCCATTGCTTTATTGGCTGGTACAGGTACCCTCATTGGACATGGTATTGGAGGAGTGTGGAGCTTTGGAGTGAAGTTTAGGAAAAGTCAAGCTCCATTAATAAAATGAAACAAAATTGGAAAAATACAAAGAACCATTTTTGGCTTCTAAAAGCAATAGCAGGCAATTATGGTGTCTGTTCTTAGACAAAACTAAAATGGAGTTCAGGTCCCCTTTAATGTTATTATATCTGTAAATTGTTTAAACAAAACCATAAACAGTTGCTCAGTGTTTGGGATCTAACATGCTAAATCAGTGTATATTTTGATTGCTAATTAGTAAAATAAATAAGACAAATAGCCCAGCACAAAAGAAACAACTTATCCCTTACAAGCGGATTTGGAAAATCCACAAAGGAATGAGTAAATATTTTTGGTAATAATTGGCAAAAGGAATATCAGAAAAGCTAGCCAGACATCTCTGTTATTGTTTATTCATCATCATCATATGTATTAGCTCATTCTACCAACATAAGACTGTAGGCTCTTCCTTGTACAAGAGACAGCGGGGGGTTCTGTGTCTGTCCAAGAACACAGAATGGCAAGTAAAATCAGTTTAGTCTGATAAATAGTAGTGGATGAGCTGCCTGAATCCTAATTTTCCTGTACATGTGAAAAATGGACTGTTCTGGGGTTTTAGTACAAAAATGGGGCAAAGAGTTGCTGCAAACAGCAACCCGATTCCAGCTATTGTTTTGTTTTGAGTATATCAAGAATAGAAGAAACCTAACTTCCTATTTTCTGTCTTTGTGCTTTCGAAATTTTCTCAGTTCTGTAAACAAATACAGCCTGGTAACATTTAATAAAAATTCTAGTAATATGGTAATAATATAGAACTATCATAGCAAAGGATGGTGCAAGTCAATGTACCAACAACAGATAGTTTCAGGACAATATAATTTCTTGTATTCAGCAGGGAGATACTTTCACCTTTCTTCCCAGGTCCATTCAAATGTTGTCGCCATCATAAGAGGTGTCTAGATGCCTGATTTTAGTTTATTTTACATAATACATCAGGAGGATAGAAATTTCATGGGGACCCATTCTAAAGCCAGGAGCCAAAGGAGACAGCCATGACAGTAATAAAATCCACACAAATGTCTAATGTTGGGTGGTTTCATATACATTTAGGCCCCTTTCACAAGGGCAGAGTGCCAGCTGGACCCAATCGAACCCTCTATTCTCTGGAGCGGTGGGTGTAAATGGACGTGTCCATTTACAACTGCTTACATCCAATCAGATCTGATTTTCTAAAAACAGATGAATGGGGAAGTCCGTTTCCATCTGACCACTCATAGAGGAGAGCTGGCTGTGAAAACGGAGTGGACATGGACATCCACCATAGTCATCCACCTGCTTACTGGAGATCAGCTGACAAATACCCTGCTCAGCAAGTAGGCTCTTAGTCGAGCTGAGTGGAAGGGGTCTTAGAAGTACAGAAAGGAGCACCAAACCAAAGCCGGATGAAAGAATCCAAAATAATATTATAGCATCTTCTGTCAAGATGTTACTCCATGAGGAGTGTTCAATACTGGTTCTAATATACATCCAACTAAGTTTAATCTTATGTTAAACCTGGATGAAGGGGTAGTGGTGTTGCTTCTAAAATGTGTTGGATGTGTTTTTATGACTTTTTTAACCAACAATAAAAATTGTCTTAAAAGTTTTCATGTAGTTTTGGTCTTGCAATCCTTTTTGTATTCCTATGATTTAAGCTACTGTTGGGTGCCTATCGAGGGAAACGTCGCTGTGTGGAAGCTACCTTGCCAGAGCTATTGAGCTTGTATGAGGTTTTTCTTCATCTGATTGCATGTACAAGACTAAAAGTTCCCATTACCTCTTTGAGTCTATGGGTATGCAGTTCATATTACTTTTTAGCTTTATTATTGGAGAAAAGCAGATTATATTTTATTTTACTTTCTGCTGTTTCATCCCAAATGATGAAACAAAACAAATTTTTATTAAATAGTAAGCATGTTTTAACATTCCTTTAAAGAAGAACACAAGTTGGACGTGGTCTAGCTTGCCATGTGAATGGACGTTCTACCTAACAGCTCCGAGCTATCCTGTGACAATCCTGCTCCATCTTGATCATCCATAACATCTATGTTTTGCTCCCCGCCCACTGGACAACAATGCCATGTCCCTGGCCAGCGGTTCGGTGGATGGGATCCACTGACAATGCTCCCTCAGGCTTTCTCCAATGAGGATACGCGGAAGACGGGACAGAATCCACCTTGTCAGATGTCCTTGCTACCATCAAGGGAAATCATTCTGATTTGATGGGGAATGTAGAGGTACTTTAACTTGATCTTACTATTATGTGCTAGGATACGCATAAGGTCAGGGAGTGGGTATCGGCAACTGAAAGGCACATCATTGACTTAGAAGATGTGGTTAACCCTCTCCTGCCCAAAATCAATTCATGTCAAGCTCTGGAAGATAAGTTGGGTGATCTGGAAAACTGCCTTCCCAGAAACAACTTGTGGCTGGTAGGCCTGCCTGAAAGGGTGGAGGGGTCTGACCCAGTGCCCTTCCTGGAAAGTTGGCTGGAGCAAGAATTTGGCTGCAATTGTCTATCTCCCTGCTTTGTGTTCGAACAGGCTCATAGAGTCCCTGGAAGGCCTCTCCATGAGGGCAGCCCCTGTTGCACCATGGTGATTCATCTTAAAAACTACAGGGACAGAGACTCTATCCTGCGTGCTGCTTGCCTGAAATGGAGTCTTTGTATCAACAACGCTGTGGTGTCCTTTTCCCTGATTATTCCACCACCGTTTGTAATCTTAGAGCCAAATATCAACATGTTGCATATAAACGGCCGGACGGTGGCACTGCAGGGTCGGGTGACTTTTTATAAACGGCCTCCCCGCACCCTGCTTGTGCGCGCTCCCTGGGAGCGCGCAGCACCGCGATCCGGTGCCCGCTGTGTCCTCCGGACACAGTGAAACACCGATCGTCGGACGGGACCTCTGTACAAGGTCCCAATCATGTGATCACTGATTGGCCAATCAGTGATCACATGCAAAGTAGTAAGCAAGATGTCACTTCTGACATCATTGCTTACTACGTGTGAAATCTGTGAATGATCACAGAGGTCACATGGTACAAGGCTATTCACAAAAGCCTTGTACCATGTGACAAGCTGTGACCAATCACAGCTCACTCAGTACTTCTCAATGAGTGCAAGAATGCACACAGAGAGAAAGAGAAAATTATTGCTTTTACACCCTATATGGGTGTTAAAGCAATCAGTGTTAAAAAAAAAAAAAAAATCTTCATCACCCCCCACAAGTAGTACAGTGTCACCATGGTGACACTGTACTGCTAGGGTGACAGTATGTAAAAAAAAAAAAAAAATAAAAATGTAAAAAAAAAATGTTTAAAAATTATCATTTTTGGTTATAAACTAATTTGGATTTTTTTTTTTTTTTTACTAAAAAGATAACGGAATAAATTTTGGCTAAGATTTATGATGAAATATTATTTAATTGCAAAATTTTATAAAAAAAACACTTTTTTTCAAACTTTTTGGACATTTCATTTACATAGCAAAAAAAAAATACAAATCCCAGTGGTGAATAAATACCACCAAAATAAAGCTTTATCTGTCTCAAAAAAATGGTAAAAAATTCATTTGGGTACAGTGTTGCATGACTGCGCAATTGTCATTCAAAATGTGATAGCGCTAAAAGCTGAAAATTGCCCTGGTCAGGAAGGGGGTAAAAGTGTCCAGTCTGGAAGTGGTTATGTGGATATAATTCTACCTACTCTAATTATGCCCGTGGGGTATCTGTATTGATCTGTAAAGGTCTCCTATTTATATGCTGCACAGTTCATGGTATACCATTAATTTTGGTGGTGGTCTATCTCCCCCCCCCCCCCCCCCCCCCTTCCTGGTTACAGCTGCAGTTTTTCAGTCTCTAACAAATTGAGTGTCCATTTTTCTACATGACCTAGTTTTGCTTTGGACCGGTTGAAGTCTCTATCCTCTGAATAAAAATTGTTTCAGCAATGGAGTGATTCCTACCACTATGTAGATCTTTGGTGATGGAAATTTCCCAAGGTTAGGATGTATTCCTGGCAATCTAAATCCTATCATGCTCTTTTCAAGCTGAATTACATAGGTGTTATCCATTTCATATGTTCATTAAACAATATCAGATCACACTGTGCTACAGGTGGAATTACAGCTAGGTTATAGGCCCTCTTTTTGGTCCTTAAGGCTTGGTCCCCTCTGGATCTCCACGGCTGAATTTCAGGAACCCATTCAAACTGATATGATTAACTACTGGGCTACCAATGAGTACTTTTCTGTAATGAGACCTACGTGGGATGTCTTTGAAACAGTAATACATGGCCCCTTTATTTCTAATATTGCTTGTTACCGTACAGTGGCTGGACTACCGAAGAAAAACTGGAGTTCTCCTTGGCAACTGCAAGATCCCACTATGTCTGTCACCCTTCACCTGAGTCACGTGATACCTTGGTTGAGGCTCACAAAGCTCTGCAACTTCATATGGTTGACCTGACATGCAAACTTCTGTTATACCTGTCCTCCAAGTTGCATGAACATAGTGGAAAGAACGGCAAATTATTGGCTTATCTTTCCCATACGGATGCTATAGACAGTTCTATACCAGCAATCAGACTAACTGATGGTACAATCTTTTCTGATCCCAGAATCATTAACCAGACTTATGCACAATTCTATGAAACACTGTATTCTGACTTAGGGGCCCCTGCTGAGTATTTCTTTGCAGGTTTTGTTCACCTCTCTTACTTTTCCCAAACTTAGTGACTCCCATTGCTTTCTCCTTGAGAAACCGCTGACAGTGGAATAAGTTTCTGAAGCTATCCATTCCCTACCTTCTAATAAGGCCCCAGGGCTAGACGGGTTATCCTCTAAATTGGTATCAGACCAATGCAGAAGACCTGGCCACATGATTACCTTTTTAGCTCAGCATTTGATAATAGACTACTTCCTGACTCTATGAATGAGGCTCTAATTGTACTAACACCAAAGTCTGACAAAGACAAGTTACAGTCTGGGTCATATCATCCCATTTATTTGCTTAATAGTGATGTAAAAGTGTTGGCCAAACTTCTAGCTACCCGTTTGCAGAAAGTGATTCTTACACGTGGACCAATCCATGTCTGGAAAGAGCACCTATGACAATATACGTCTCCTGTATTTATGCATCCATAGGGCAGCTACTGATCAGAACGATTGGGTACTGTCTCTGGATGTGCAAAAAGCCTTTGACACTGTCAGATGGCCATCTTTATGGGAGACGATGTCTCAGATGGGTTTTGGTTCCCAGTTTGTTCGATGGGTACAATTGCTGTATGCTAACCCTAGGGCTCGTATCTGCACAAATAAGGACGTATTTCCTGCTCTTACATTGTATTGGCAGGATCTTTTTGCCTTTTTGACACTGCCCTACATCTGCCAGTCCCTCATACTCCAGATGTAGGTCTCTTGGGAATTTTTAATGATTTCATACCTCAGACTCATCCTAGAATATTAATCCATATGCTTTCGTTTTATGCTAGAAAACTAATTTTGCTGAATTGGAAAAATGCTAATCCACTTTCCATACAACAATTTTGATCTGCCTAAACATGAGTTAATTTATAAAGATTGAGCTTGTCCTTCTGTGTACAATGTATTCTGTCGCTCCTTTCCTGGGGCCCCTGATACCTATATGTTTATTGTAACTTTTTAAAAGCTAAATAAACACCTCTTGAAAAAAAAGAAGAACACAAGGTTGACCATTATCCCTAGAGTCTAATGTTATCAAATGTTTACAGGTCTGTGCAGTGCTATAGGTGTGCTAGGAAACAAGGCTTTAATTTAAATGACCGCTTTGTGACTTAATCTATAATTTAAATCCCATGATACCAGCTATAGTGGAATAAATACTAACAAAGAATATACATTTTATGAAAGAACCTTACCTTTTTACAAGTAATTAAGTCCTGTAAAATATGCATACCTTTAATAAATAAATCATGAGAAACTTCAATAACTACATTATTTATACTGTATGTTTGCAATCAGTAAGAGCATTATATATATGTTAAAGTAGTTGAGAAAAGGGATGTTCCTATAAAAAAATAAAAAAACATTGCTAGGCATGTGAAAAAATGTACTATACATGCTACAGAAGCTGAGATGGAAGCCACATTTCTATTCTAATTGAATGTGAGAATTTTGCTGGTTATAGGAGACTGCAAAAGAATATTCCCAATGGTCTAATGCAGAGGTAGGCAAATTTAGTCCCTCCAGCAATTGCCGAATTGCAAGCTCCAATATGTATCTGTTTCTGGGAATCATGCTTGTGGCTATCAGAGTCTGCAGTGTCTCATGGGACTTGTAGTTCTGCAACAGCTGGAGGGCCAAAGTTTGTCTACCCCTGGTCTAATGCAATACAGGGATGTTTTTTTTAAAGTCTCCCATAAATAGCTAAATTCTGATATTTGGTCAAATTTTATTTTGCTTGGCAACAGTGTTGCTTTAAATCAAGTCACAGGTTTAGTAGTCTACGTCTACCCTAATCTTCTTTTCAGTTTGTGTTTTTTTGAGAATTGACAATAATTTTATTGGGTAATTTTTACATGCTGTATTAATTGGTAATTTTAATGACAGATCCTCTTTCAAAACACACAGCCAAACATCAAATTTACCAATGTTTTAATACTTACAAAAAAAAGGGATAAATGGAACTCACTGTATGGAGAAATTACAGAAGTGATATCTGAATCCAAGCCAAAATGGGGCCATGGATGGCCCTTTGATGAATTAGTGTTCTCGCAGTATAGTACCATGTCACGCAGGCTTAGGAAAGCAGGAAGATCGGTACTGGGACTCTAGGGTTATCCTCTTAGTACAGGAATTTATTATGGTATTTGGACAAAGTATTTGGATTTACGTCTTTCAGCTTTTCCACACCAAAGGATTTCCATGGTTTCATTGGCATGTGCCTGAATAGATCTGAGTTTAAGGGTGAACTCACACTGACAGTTTTAACTGAAACAGTTCACCGCCTGGGTTTGGTTCCTTTGTGTAGTGTTTGTGCTTTGAACTGTATCTGGGAACTGTTAAGTGTACCTTGCATAGGACCACTTGGAAGAAGTGGTCCCAAGTGCAGATCACTTGTGATCCATTATGGTTCACTTCATTGTGAGTGCAAATTGCGCCTGAGAACATAGCTCTCCAGAGATGACTGAGCACAGAAGCAGGGATCACTGTGATCTTACTGGCAGAGATAACAATGTAAGTGTACTAGGGAACAATTGCTTATAGCCAGGTGTGAGTGCAGATCAGTGGGGAGTGGGGACAATCGAACTCGGGCACAGTTTGCCTCAAACGTTCGCAGTGTGTGTGCACTCTAAAGCACTACACCAGGAATAAATTGCCCAGCTATAAATATTCCAATATGAATTAGGATAAAGGGTGGATCAAACGTGTTTCCGAGAGCCTTAAAAATAACCCTTTCATCAGGGCTTAAAGATACCCTTGTCATAAGTTAATGTAGACTTAGAAATGTAGGAGGTAGATGCTGGCACCTTAGAGTTATCCTATTGGTATAGGAAACTATGGTGGTATTTGGACACATTATTTGCATTCTTGGCTGATATTTAACCAGTTGCTGACAGTCATCCTGTCAAGTACTGTTTAGTTTAAATCCCCCAAAATATGCTGGCTCTCTTCCTTTTTCCTGATTCACTTTGGAATTAATATTAACCTAGATACTTAAAGCAGAACTTTACCCAAAAGGGGAAATTCTACTTGTTTATAGCCCCCCCCTCCACTGCCACATTTGGCACTTTTTTGGGGGGGAACAGATACCTGGTTACCATTTTTTGGGGGGAAACGGATATCATTCCCACTTCTGGTCAGATACGCCGTGGTGATCTGAGCCAATAGTTTGGCCCTCTTCCTGTGGGACTGCGGGAACACTCACTGTGAGCTTCTCACAGTGTGCTTTAGAAGCTTCAGCAGTTCAGATAGAGCCCGCCTCATTTCCTGTATGTAGGGCACCCAGCATCATCTTGCTTTTTCCTTCCTAGCCAGACTGTCCCTGTTCTACCCCTTTCATTCATTGGCCTTCAGTTCTTTCAGTCATGGAGGCTCAGCCTTACATGTGGGCATTACCTAGGTCAGTCTGCATTGCAGCATGTGTAGGAAAGCCCACTCCTCCAGACTGTATTCTATCCATGAAGACATTTTGATATTTGCATGACTGCTACACTGCTTGTACCTGGACCAATAGAAGTCACAGGGGGCACAGTGGTGACCCCACTCATGCTTCAGGGGGGCCCAGGCAACAAGAGGAACAGGGACAGGATGGGCAGCAGTGGCATTTACTAGACTGGATCAGCTGCATTTTCCTGCAGCAGCTGAAAACCAGCAGGAGGAGGAGGAGGAAAATCTGGTTTTCAGCTGCTGCAGGAAAATGCAGCTGATCCAATCTAGTAAATGCCATCTGTCTCTATTCCTCTTGTTGCCTGGGCCCCCCTGGAGCATGAGCCCCCCCGTGTGCTCCCCATCTCAGTGTTGTGCAGTGCTGGCAGGAATTCCTTCATCTACTAGTGCGGTGGCTGCAACAGCTTTTCACATGCACTGTGCACTTTTGTTTTTCCATCTGGCCGCCAGCTTCATGTGTCTCTCTCTTCCCCTCCCGTAGTTCCCCATTTCCCCCTCATGTTGTGGACAGTGGTGGCTGGATTCACACCGAGTACTCGCAGAATACAAGCTGCCGACACCAGCAGACCGCTGCACTGTTCCAACCTGAAGATTTCTTCCTTCAGAGGGGCTGGCTGCTGCTGGAATGAATTAGATGCTGTCATTCCTCCACATGACATATGAGTGCAATAATTGTTACTGCACTATGGATTTCTCTTCTTGCTTCTTTTTTACCTATTCCAGTGTTCCTTTCCCCTAAGAGGTTTGGGAAACTGCAGTCCTTGTTCAATTGTGCCTTGATTGGATCAGTCCCATACACTGACATATAATGATTGCCTGAATTATCTACCTTATGTTTCTGCTACTTCATCCCAGATTGATCATGGATTAATCATGCGTATATTTGGTCTTACGATCCACCCAGGGTATATTGGTCCTGCGCAATTTCCATATCAAGTTCTTTTGATTCATTCTCCAGTGCAGTTGAGGTTGTAGAGCAAGGGACTGAGGAATCTTTCTCAAACGTGAGACATCAGGGGTCTCTTTAGACCCGTGATATTTCACCAAAGCCTCCCAACACGGTTGCTAAAAAAAAAAATTAACAATAAAATGTAAACAATGAAAAATATGTGTAAAATTTAATAAAAAAAACAAAAATATAAAAACTACTTACACCATCCAGTGTCTGACTGACACCATCCTCTACCCTACTGACACCATCCTCTACCTTATTGATTGACTCCGTCCATTGCCGTACTGATACCGTCTATTGCTCTACCAACACTGTGCTATGCCCTATTGACTGACACCATCCACTGCTCTACTAACACTGTCCACTGCCCCACTCACACATCCACTGCCCTACTGACACTGTCTACACACAGTCCACTGCCCTACTGATACCACTCCCTGCCCTGCTGACACTGTCCACTGCTCTACTGACACCATCCACTGCCCTACTGACACCATCCACTGCCCTACTGACACCGTCCACAGCCCTACTGACATTTGTTTTATTATCTAGGTTTTCTTTACTATTTAGTTAGGCCTTGCTAGTTAATTTCTTAAAAAAA